CTGGCTCCAGCCAGGACCCCCCCCCGGGTGAGGAGGGGCAGGGAGTCATAAGGGGGTGGTGATGGGGGGGGGGCCAGGAGGCACCAACCCCCACTCGTGGGTGGGTCAGGGCAGATTTTGGGGGCTGGTGGTGGCATCTAGGGGGGGTTTCAGGTTGCCACCATGTCCTCCCTTTCCACCTACTTCATTTTGAAGCTTTTGGGGGAAGGGGGGGCTCAGTGTTCTGGACCCCCCCGTTTCTTCTTGCCGTGCCGGAGCCTGGTGGTGGTGGTGATGGCAACGTCCTCCAGCTCCTGCTTGGTCACCCCACTGAAGTCCAAGGTGGTGAGATGGGGCAGGAGGGACAGCACGTAGCTCCTGGAGGTGGGGATGGAAGAAGGAGCTTCAGTGAGATGTGGGGGGGTCTCCATTTGCTCCCTGGGGGGTGTGGGGGTGAAGGTGACCCCCCCTTAGAGGTACCTGTAGCCCCTCTGCTCCTCCATGGGGTTCCCGTGTAGGGTGAGGCGACGGAGATGGGGCAGGACCCCCAATTTGTCCACCTCGGCCAAGCTCCTGATGTCGTTGCCGTGGAGCTGGAGGCTCCGTAGGGCACGGAGGGTGGTGAGGACCTGGGTAGTGGCCAAGAGACTTTCCATGAAATTCAAAAATTCATGGAATTCAGGTGAAATTCCTGCAGACTGGAAGAAGGGGAACTGAATTTCACTGAATTTTAGAGTTGGAAGGGACCATGGAGATCATCTAGTCCAACTCCCCTGGAGTTGGCCAAAGCAGGACCACCCAGAGCTTGGCAGAGCATGTTCCTCAGGAGCATCCAGGTGGGGCTTGAAGATCTCCAAAGAAGGGGACTCCACAACCTGTTCCAGGGCTCTGCCACCCTCACCGTGAAGAAGTTTCTCCTCATATTTGAGTGGAACCTCTTCTGGTCCAACTTGTGCCCGTTGCCCCTCGTCCTCTCACTGGGAACCACTGGAAAGAGTCTGGCTCCCTTCTCCTTGAGGCCCCATCCCTGGAGGTGTTCAAA